CAATTTCTTTATCCATTCATCAGTTGATGGACATTTAGGCTCTTTCCATAATTTGGCTATTGTTGAGAGTGCTGCTATGAACATTGGGGTACAAGTGCCCCTATGCATCAGTACTCCCGTGTCCCTTGGATAAATTCCTAGCAGTGCTATTGCTGGTTATGGAACATTTTTAATAGATCTTTTTTTTTTTTAATTTTTTAAAGTAATCTCTACATCCAACATGGGGCTCAAACTCACAACCCCAAGACCAAGAGTTGCACACTACTGAGTGAGCCAGGTGCCCCTGTGGAAGGTTTTTAATTAGAGATTCAATTTCGTAGATAGAGTAGCATAGCACTATTTCTTTTTGTAACCGTTGCCTCCAGCCTTTTAATTTTTTTAACATGAATGTTATAATATCCTTTTATTATCTCTACATCTGTGGAGTCTAAATTGTGTCCCTATATTCATTTATTTCCTTTTTTTTTTTTTAAGTTTATTTATTTTAGAGCGAGCACAAGAGCAAGTGGCAGAGGGGCAGAGGGAGAGAGAGAATCCCAAGCAGGCTCCACACTGTCAGCCTGGAGCCCAAGTGGGCTCAAACTCAGGAACAGTGAGATCATGACCTGAGGCGAAAAAAGAGTTGGATGCTTAACAGACTGAGCCCTTACCCGCCCCTCCCATACTCATTTCTGATATTGGTATATTGTATCTTCTTTGATCAGCCTTGCCTAGTGGTTTATACATTTTATTAATTTTTTCTAAGAACCGACTTCTGGCTTTATTAATATTTTCTATTGTATGTATGTTTTCCATTCCATTAACTTCTGCTTTTTTATTATCTCCTTGATTTGATTTTAGTTTGCTAGGGAGTATTTTGTCAGTCTTTGTGGGTTTTTTTTCCTTTCTTTCTTTTTTTTATTGAATGTTTATTTTTATCTTTGAGAGAGAAAGATGGACAGAGTGTAAGCAAGGGAGGGGCAGAGAGAGAGAGACACAGAATCCAAAGCTGAGCTGTCAGCACAGAGCCCAGTGCAGGGCTCGAATCACGGACCGCGAGGTCATGACCTGAGCCGACATCAGACGCTTACCGACTGGGCCACCCAGGTGCCCTTCACTTCACAAGTTTTGATATGTATTTTCATTATCATTCGATAAAAAATACTCTCTCGTTTTCATGGTGATTTTTCTTTATGACCCATGATATCAGCCAAATTTTCAAATATTTGGGGACTTCTCCCCCCAGCATTTTAAGACCCCTGAAATTTCTGTTAAATCTTTAGTTTCTTAGCAGTTTCTTTCTGCTTGGTTTCTTGGTCTCATAATTTTCCCTTGCTTATCATAGCTTAGGAACCAGCAAACATTTCCTGGAGAAATTGTGCAGAAAATGTTGGTCTTACCTCTCTTACCCCCTTTCTGCAGCACTGTTGTCTGGCTGCTTTGGTAGCTTTAAATTCCAGTGTTTGTCTCCTCAGTCCAGTGAGGATTACATGATTTCTATGTTGCCTGTTTCTGTTTGGCATTTATGCCCTGTGAAGCAGATCAGCAAATATCCCAAGGGGAAGAAATAGTGACAAATATATGGCTTCATCTCAACACATTTCCCTTCTCAAACACTGACTGCCTCAGCTGTTGTCAACTTAAAAATAGCTATTTTATGTATTTCATCCATAGTTGTTCTGTGATGTAGATGATTCCATCCTACAGACCACACTCCTTGGTATTTTTATGTAGTCAAATAATGTTTCTTTTGCTGTTAGGCATATTCTTTTCCCTATGTTACCTCTGTATTGTGCTTTTAAAAATGTTTTTATGAAGAATTCCCTTTATCTATTTTGCTGTTGAGTATGTTTGCTTTTTTTTTTTTCCCTGTCTAGATTTGGAAATTAGAAATTCTATGTTTATTTTTCCCCCCTCAGTTTTCTTAATTCTCCATTTCACAATAAAACAATACTTACTGCTCATCCCTATTGGAGATAAGAAGGTTACAGTGGTGTGTTATTCCTTTCAACCTTTGCAGACCACTTGGTGACTGGGTCACACACACACACACACAACACGTTAACGGTGACACAACTGTGGTGGGCCTGGTTCTAGGTCATACTAGGTCGTATCTGATTACTTTCTTGCAGTAGGTATATGGCTCATATCTGAGAACAGTTTCCTGATCCGAAGACTTCTTTTTTCAACTAAGGAAGTTTTATTATAGTTTTGAATTATTACATCATCTTTTTATTTTAATTTTCTTTTTAATGTTTGTTTATTCTTGAGTGAGCGTGAGTGGGGGAGGGGCAGAGAGAGGGAGACACAGAATCCAAAACAGGCTCTAGGCTCCGAGCTGTCAGCACAGAGCCCGACGTGGGGCTCGAACCCACGGACCACAAGATCATGACCCGAGCCCAAGTTGGATGTTTAACTGAGTGAGCCACCCAGGCGCCCCTGCGTCCTATTTCTTATTATTAGTTCTTCAGGAACACTTGTGACCTGTATGTGTGTCCCTGCTTTTTATCGTTTTTACTCACCTGGAACATTTTAATTCTTTTGTGTTATGTTAGTCCTCGTCATTCTGAGAAAGTCATATGGGTTCATCCCCATCTCTGTTGATATTAGCACTCCCAGTTCTGTTCTTTTTACTAAAATGCAGGTTTTAAGTTTTTAGTTGTTTTTTTTTTTTTTTTTTCCTTCCCTTTTTTACACTCTTTCCTCATCCAGAGGCTGCAAATCCCTGTTGGGGCCAGGTCTGGCAGGTTGATAGATTGATCTAATGTTTAAAATCGGGGGTTTTTACAGTACTGTCTGAATTTAGGACTTCTAAACCAAATTTCTAGTGTTGTGCAGTCTCTTATTTAGATTGCTTTTACCAGTCTTGTAAGGGATCTGGCATCTTTTTATTAGGAGTGGCATTTATTCCTGGATAAGTTTAAACTGAACGGGCTTTTTCAGAAGCAGTGAATGGGAACACTGTAACATACGTGACGTGCTGCTTGCACAGCTCATCCAGTCTTAGCTTCTGCCCTCTGCTTTCTGAACGCCGGAAGCAAGCACCCTCCCATGTATTTCCCCCTCTAGGTGGGGTGTAGAGAGGTAGTGAGAGCTCTGGCTACCACGTGAGCATTGCCCCCGTAGGGAATGACTCTTCTTCCTGGTGAACAGGTGTCTGTGGTGCACAGAGGGGGTGGGTGGATAGAAAAATCCAGAGATCCTTCTGCGATTTCAGGGTTTCATCTAAGCTTTGATTTATTTACTAATGGTTTTCACACTTAGGACCTATTAGGTTAACTTCAAATGGATTTTGAAATCCTTACAATTAAATACATGCTCAAAATTTCTGCCTCATTGTTACTTTACCTCTTCCGGATTTGAATTCACTTCGTTTGGAGTGTTACAAAGTTAGGGATTGAAATCCAGTCGCTTTTACTAAGGTCAGATTTTTATTTCTGCAGGTCCTGCCCAGTCCGGAATTTTGTCAGATCGGGAGGTGGTAAATCTCTTTCTCCATTTTACGGTCAATCCCAAGCCCCGAGTGGAATACATCGACCGGCCAAGGTGCTGCCTGCGAGGAAAGGAGTGCTGTATCCGTAGGTTCCAGCAAGTGGAGAGCCGCTGGGGCTACAGCGGCACGAGCGACCGAATCAGGTGTCTGTCGCGTTGCAGGCGCGGGGGTGACGTGGGGCCGCACCTAGCATTTTTCTTTTGTCCTCATGTCGTGGGAGACAGTTGACCACGTTTTATTTTCTGCTTTGTTTAGTACATTTCTGAGTTACTACAGGAGTCCAGAATCAGGAAGATACAGCAGTGTCCTCGCTGCACTGGGAGTGAGGGGATCTCTCAGGAAACAAGTGAACTTAGAGAGGGCCGGGTGGGGTTTTCCACAGCACGGATTCTGTTTGGATCTCTACTGCTGGAGAGCAGGGTCTACACCTTCATTAATCAAACACTTGCTTCTACTGTGTTTAATGTGAGCTTTTTGTTTGCAAAGATACTGCACGGGAGATAGTTCTATGTACGGTTACAAAAGAGTGAAAAATCTAGAATCTTGAGACGTGTGTATATAATCCTGTCGAGGAATTTATCTTTGCCCTACCTTGTTTTCTTTAGGCTAGATGTCAAAATAGAATGTTTCAGTTTCCATAAAATATACCTTTTGGATTTTTACTTATTTATAATAGCACTTTAGTATAAAGCTAGGAGCTAATAACAAGCTTGTTAAAAAACAACTCTGGGGGCGAGAACTCAGAAACGTTGGGTTAAAATGGAAATTTAAAATGCATTTGTGGACTATTTAATAATTACTCACAATGAGAATATCATATATGAAAATTTATGAGATGAGGCCAAAGTGTCACACAAAGAAACAGTAACAATGATCTACTTTTACTAAATAAACTAGAGTAGAAATAAATGATTTAAGCATTCAACTCAAGTAGCTAAAAAACGAATAGCCAAAAGAACAATAGAAAAGAGAAATAGATAAATCTCGTAATTAATGAATTAAAAAATAGAATTAAGAAATCCATAAGTTGGTTCCTTAAAAAGATCAATAAAATAAATAAACTTCTGGCAGAGATAGTAAAGAAAGAAAACATACATTTGGAAATAATAATGGGAATATAATCATATACTAAGGCAGTTTTTATTTAATTCTGAGTTTACTCTGTGCTAATAAATTGAACATCTTGATGGAATGGATCATTTTATAGGCAAATATAAATTATCAAAATTGACTGAAGAAGAAAGCCTGAATAGACCAGTTACCAATGGAAGGAATTAAAAGTTATCAAAGAACTGTCCCTTCACAAGGTGGTTTTTACAGGTGAGTTTTATCAAACCTTCAAGGAACAGGTCCTTGAGCATTAAAAGAAGAAAATACTTCTTGGTTCATTATTGAAAGAAGCATAACCCTTATACAGGAGTTTGATAAAACAAGAAAGTTTCTAGATCAATCTCATTGATAGAGAAGAACAACTTCTACGTAAGGTATCAGTGTCTTAAATCTAGCAATACCTCAGAAAAATAATACCTGAGCAAACAGGGTTTATTTGAAGATTGAAAAAATGTATTAATATATATTCACCACAGCAGCAGATGAAAGAAGAAAAGCGATTTGATTGTTGCAGTAGATATCGGAAAGACTTGATAAAATTTCACCTTCATTCCAGATGTAACTACTAATAGACTAGGTCTAGAAGATCTTGAACGCGATTCACTGTTGAAACCTCAGGATAGGGATGCTGGCCAGCACCGTTGTACTTCAGCAGCATTCTTAGAATTCTGGGTGACGTCGTCATGAAGGATAAAGAAATTAGAGCCCTGAATATTGGAAGGGAAGAAGTCTTTTTCAGAATTTGCAGATGACATTATCTACATTAGTACCACTTTTCCCTTTCTTATAATAAAACATTTTGTGCTCCCTCTTTAGTAACCTGGTGAAATTCATAGACTGTATACCTCACGCGTTGTTTTTGGTCAACATAATGACCTAGCTCTAATGTAACGGAGCAGTAAACGTAATGGAGATGAAATAAAACCCGTCCTTCAGTACGTAGATGCTTGAGCAGGACACCAGGAGGCAGCCGGAAGCACCCGTGTGCGTGCCACACAGGCTGCCGGGGCAGGTGTGTTATGTTAATGTGTCAAAAAGCGTGAGCAGCGTTGCTGCCAATCATGTCATTTTTTTTAAAGGTTTCAAATAAAACAGTAAGGTCAATCCTGTTTGTTTAGTTTCCAGATTTGCAGCTCACCTGCTCACTAAAGCTTCTCTGTACTCCCAAATCAATACTTGCAGCGCTTCCTTATCACAGACCTGAGTTGCCCGGAGGTATGTTCCTATTTGAGGTCGCACAGTTGACCCCCTCCTGAGGAAACAGAGACAGCAGGGGGCAGCGCAGTGTAGAGCCAGACACTGGCCCTGGGGCTGTTTGGGCAGCTGACCCCTAACCCTGCACTTGTTGGGAGTGGCCTCAGGCGAGTCACTTAACACTTCTGAACTCCTGTTTTCTCTTTTGTAAAATAAGATGGAACCTCCGAGGATGAGTTGTTTGGGGGATTTAAGGTTACAACCCATGTGAGAGGGGGGTGTGTGGGTACGTGTGTACGCATGTTCCCCATAGGAGCAATGGTTTAGTATCTGTGGCAACTTTATAGAATATGATTACTACAAATAGAATTGACTGTATAATATTTCCTCTATTTATATGGTAGTAACATCTTGTAAAAGTCACTGAATATTAAAATTGCCATAAAAATTATTGGTTTGTGCTGAAACACTGTGCGATGCTGAAGACTCGGGGACCCTTGCTCTGCAAGGAGAACTGGGGGTTGAGTGTAATCCCTTAAGTCCTTCCTGTGCTCAGACGGAAGACACACACTGTCTGCAGGAGTAATCTTGCTTTATAACAATGCCGAAATCTGTAGTTTGTCAATAAAGTGGTTGACACTTAGGTTGAGCTCTTGTAGTTATAAACAAGTTTTTCACCTACATGAATTCCGACAGGACACTTGAAAATTGGCTGGGATTCTTTGTTTTCAGAGACCGTCCTGATCATTGCAGTAAATCTTGCTGCCACTGGAACCCCTGAGCCTCTGTGGGAAACAGAGCATGGTCTCCATGGGGCTGGGACTCTTTTTGAGAACAGTTGATCCATCCCGGTGACCTCAGGATCAGTAAAAATCTATTAGAACCAATAAAAGAGAATAGTGGCCATTTGTGAAATGTATATACAAATCCCAGTGATGGTCCTGTATGTCCTCACAATTCAGTTACAGAGACGGATGGATGGTGGTGAGGGTTGTCTAGCCATGTGAATGTTCTCAGTGCCACTAAATTGCACACTTAAAAATGGTTAAGATGTTACATTTTGTTACATATTTTGCCACAACAAAAAGATACAATTTAAACGTGTTTAGATTTTCAGTTACAATATTAAGTAAAAAAAAAAGACCTCACTTACAATGGTGACAACATAAAGGAACAGGAATAGATTCCGTAGGAAGCAGACAGAACAGCACCTTCATGGAGAACCGGAGAACCTTGCCCGTAGCCATTGTCTTGCCAAGCTAAGTGCGTGGACTGCAGCTGCCTACAGGAGTGACGTGCTCTTGGCAGGAAGCGTTGGCTTGGCCCAGTTACTCTAAAATTAAGCTGGAAGAGTAAATTTTCTCGTTTTAAAAGAGCAGTATGGATCCAATGTAAGACTACTGTAAAGTTAAAGTTCGTGCCGTATGGAACACTCTACAGAGTCCAGGAAGCAGACTGACCTAAATGAGCATAGAATATGAGGGGAGAAACTTAGAAGATGAGGAAAGGATCAACCACTGGGAAAATACAGTTTGATTCCCTGCTGATATCATCTGCCAATATTTGTATCCATTTATTTAATATTAAAAAAAAAGAACACGTGACTGATGCAGAGGAGATAGGCCTCTCTCCACTTGGCAGGGTCATAATACGACTACAGGTAATCCAAAGTTTTTGTGTCCACAGCCACCATGAAGTTAATAAGTAAATGACAAACAGGACACTTGCCATAATGGATAGTTACTGACAGAGCATAGCTATATAACGTGGTCTTTCAAATCCACATGAAAGAGATACTCAGCAGCAGAGAAAAATGGGGGAAGAACATGAGTATTTTATTAAAGAGAAAATCCAGTAGATGGTAAATATTCGAGCAAATGTTTTAACTCATTAATAATCCAAGAAAAAAGAATAGAATTTGTCAGTCATCAGTTTGTCAGTGGCACAAAGACATAGAAATACTCACAGTTGCTGAGCATCAGATAGAAACGATCTTCGTTCCCTGTGGGGTGAACACTTCCACCGGAAAGCAGTTTGATAACGTTTATCTAAAGCCTTAAGAACACGCCTTTCATTTTCCTCAGCAATTCTAAGAATTTATTCTCAGGACATAATTAAGGCTGCGCAAAGTGGTTTAGCTGCAAGATTGTTCCTCATGGCACTGTCACATGATAAAAACTGCAAATAACCTGGATTATCCAATAATGAGAAATCAGATCTAGTGGAGCAGTAGTAATCTTTTACCTTTTTAAATGAAAAAGAAGTATTTATACACATATATACAACTGAGATGATTTGTAAATAACATGTTCATAGAAAACAAGTCTATTTTCCCATTGCTAAAAAATAGAACTAAGTCTAAAAAGAGAAAGCACCAAAAGCAACATGGGATTTAGAGATGCTTTAAAATGTTCTGTATTTGATTAGCTGCATTTCTACTTTTTTTGCCCCTACAGAGAATATATTGCTTTTTTAAAATAAGGAAAAACTATATTATAAATGACATATTTAAAAAATGTTAAGGTGGTCTTCGCCCTGTGCTGGGAGTTTTAGCATAGTGGTGGGGGAGTGCGGGCCCTTTGGCCCACCACACTTCTTGCCCCAGGCAAGTTAATTTCTCTAAACCTCAGTTGCCTCCACTGTAAAGACCAGGGGTACAAACAACACTGTGTTAGTCTATCCAGCCATTACAATGATTCAAGGAAATAATTCATGTAAAAAGATGGCCGGGCAGCGCCCAGCACAGGAAGTACTCGGCGTGGCGGTAACAATATTGATCATCGAAGTTGCTGCTGAACATGTGGAGGGTGACTGCTTGATGTGACGGATTATCTCTGATTACATCTTTCCTGCTGTTTGTACTCTCGGTCAGTTTTCCTACATTGGTAAAGTGGAGCAAGATGGGTCTGTTTCTTAACTCCTAGACCAAACTGTTCCTGCTGATTGTTCTAGTATGAACCCTCATTCTGATCCATCTGTGTAAGTGAGGGCCTGGCCCCAGCCCTGCACCACCAGTGTTCTGTTACAGCAGCTTCCCTCACAACTCTTACCCCAACCTACGGTTGTTGACTGATCCCTTTGTTTACTTTTTTATTATTCATGTCCTCCTTTGGGCTCTAAGCGCAGTGTGGTGCCCAGTATTTAACTCTGACAGGCCCCTAGGAAGTATTCATAGAACTGGTACGTTGTTACAGATTGGACTTGCTGGGCTCTGGGCCTTTGTATCATGAAGATGTGCAGACATTTAGACTAAGACATCATTAAGATGGTCATTACAACAAAAGTGGGCATTTAGGTTAAATAATTTCCTTTGACTCTCAAAAATGTACAGTACAGAAAACAACTTCTACTTAAGTTCCCATTAAGTTAAAATTTTTTCTAGGAAGAGTTTTTTGGTAAGCAGATGACACTTCCAAGGATACCAAATTTATGACAGTTTTCCTTTTTATGAGCAAAATGTATTCCAGGTAGCACTTAAAAATTTTATAGGCCTTCAGACTATGAATACTTAATGAATTATGTATATTATTTTATATTTGGCTTCATTCTCTCAGGTTCACAGTTAATAGAAGAATCTCTATAGTCGGATTTGGTTTGTATGGATCTATCCACGGACCCACGGATTATCAAGTGAATATACAGGTACCGTTCTTCCTCACTGTTTATCGTCTTGAAATACAACAAATGTAATTTTATAGTAAGATCTCATTTTGACAAAGTCAAATTTCAGTGTAGTTCTCAAAGGCATCAGAAGGCCTAGAGAGTTCTGTCTTACAACCGATGAAAAGCAGTTTCGGAGAATCGGGACTCCTGGGGTCCTTCACAGAAGCAATAGCACACAAGGAGCCTCCCTTCTCCAGGAAACCCCTTCTGTCACTCCCTTCTGCTGCGCATTGACTGTCTAAAAACATCTGCAGGCTGTTTTTCCTGGCACTTTGAACTCTAGGGCTTGAAGCTGTCTAATTTTTCAAAACTACTGTGAACACCTTCTGATTTCCAGTTGTCTGACTATATACCCTGCCTTAGTCTTTAGATCTGTTCCACCTCAGCTCTTAATCGGGAAGAACGTTAAATACTCTCTCATTCCCTTCAGTAGGCCAGTATTCTCCCACTATTTTGAGAGTCCACCCCAGTTAGTAAAATTGTTTTTGAAACATGTCTGTGCTGGACTTGTATTTACAGGCTGTACATATACAATACTGTGCTTCTGTAGTAAAACACAAAGAATAGAAAAGGAAGTAAACAGTGTTTCAAACTTTTATCCGTAGAAAAACACTGCCTTCTCTAAAACGTTAATATTTTATTTATTTTAATGTTTTTATTTATTTTTGAGACAGAGAGAGACAGAGCATGAACGGGGAAGGGGCAGAGAGAGAGGGAGACACAGAATCGGAAGCAGGCTCCAGGCTCTGAGCGGTCAGTGCAGAGCCTGACACGGGGCTCGAACTCACAGACTGTGAGATCATGACCTGAGCTGAAGTCGGACGCTCAACCGACTGAGCCACCCAGGCGCCCCTAACATATTATTTTTAATAGCAAAAACCTTGGTGAACTTTGTGTTCAAATTTCATCATTAGCGGGGTGCCTGGGTGGCTCAGTCTGTTAAGTGTCCGGCTTTGGCTTAGGTCATGATCTCACAGTTCCTGAGTTGAAGCCCCGCATCAGGCTCTGTGCTGACAGCTCAGGGGGAGAGAGAGAAAATCCCAGGCAGGCTCCGTACCATAAGCGCCTGGCGCGGAGCTCGAACTCACAATCGTGAGATCATGACCTGAGCCACAACCAAGAGTTGGACACTTAACCGACTAAGCCCCCCAGGCGCCCCATTGCTGGAATTTTCTAATTTGATTTTTACAACAGCCTGAGGAAGAAGGCAAAGCAAGGTTTCCCCCAAAGTAAACAATAAAACTGCAGCTCAGAAGTGTAGCGGTTTGCCATGGATTAGATTTCCACAGCCAAATCCTGGGTCTCCCTACTTTATCCCAGGACACCACTGTGCTGTATTTTTTATTTAAGTTTTTTTTATTGAACTGTGATATACATGTAGAAAAGTGCACATATTTGTACATGGTGCATAAGGCTCGCTTCTCACAAGTGGAGTGCATTGTGTAGCCAGCAGCCGATCAAGGAACAGGCCGGTAGAGCGCCCCGGGAGCCCCCTTGTGGTCTTCTCCAGTCACTGTCCCTGCGGAGGTGATCTCTGCCCGGACCTGGCACAGCATTGATTGTTTTGGCCTATTTTACTGTTACTGTTTTTATCTAATGTATGTGAACAGACAGGTCTGTGAGCCTCTGCCTCTGCACGTGATGTTCCCTCGCATGGACCTCTGTGCCTTTGTACCTTTGTAACCCGGTAGGCCCTGGCTGGAGCTCTTCCAACTCTCCCTCCTTCCTGGCAAAATAAAATTCTCATCTTCTGCATTGCCCTTTTACTGCCAGTTCTGCATGCACTGTCGCTGGACACGTGTCTAGTGACTGGAAGCTCCTTGAGGGCGTGACCCTCAGTGTCTGGCACAGATTATGGAACTAAATTGAAAAAATGGGCTTTTCACATTTTTAATATCTGCATACCTGAATACTGCATTTCAGGTCATCTTAATTTCAGTAAATAACATTTAGACATAGGAAACGCTATGGGAATTTCCTAGCAGCAAGACACAGGCTAGCAAGGAGGAGAGGCCTGTTTTCCTCAGGTATCTAAAATCCAGGTGTTCTAAAAACCAGTTCCCCGGGTTGGTGTCTCCTGGGCAAGCCCCTGTGTCCTGCAGCCGAGTCGCGGTTAGCTGGCATTCCACCCCGCCCCCCACCCCGCACGCGTGTTCCAGCCGTCTCTGGTGGTTAGAGAGAAGTAGACAAGACTTACACTCCGCTGTTCCTAAGGGCTCCGTGGGCTTTTCTGTGAAACTTTGCTTCAGTTGATTTCGCTTAAGTGTAACTTGTCTTTGAAAAATTACAGATCATTGAATATGAAAAAAAACAAACCCTGGGACAGAATGATACTGGATTCAGTTGTGATGGGACTGCTAACACATTCAGGGTCATGTTCAAAGAACCTATAGAGATCCTGCCCAATGTGTGCTACACAGCATGCGCCACACTCAAAGTAAGAGCCTTCCGGAATGTTCTCAATGGTGAACTGGTGGGTTTCCTCTCCCATGTTACAGAGAGTGTGTTCTCCATAGAAACGGAGAGTCACAGACAATAAAGCCTTCAGGAAGAAGGGAAAGAAGGAAGCTGGGAGCCGAAATATTCCACTGCTTGCAGAAAAGAAGTGCCTGTCAGCATGGCTCTGCTCTGACATGGTTCTTTATAAGCAGTAGCCCTTTGCTTGAGTAGGAGATTGAATGTTTGACAGAAGATAAAATAATTATTTTCTAAAAACCATTTCCCTGTTCTATAAAAGCGGAGTTCTACGTTGTTTTTAATCATTAACTAGTTTTGTAGCAAAAATTCCATTTTTCATGAAGTGACAGCATAAAATTTCATACAAGAACAGTAATGAAATATAATAGATCATTAACCTAATTAAAACACCACATTAAACTGAGTATTTATTAAATGAAAACTACTAACGAACCTTTTGTTCTCATTTAGGGCCCAGATTCCCACTATGGCACGAAAGGATTGAAGAAAGTTGTGCATGAGGCACCTGCTGCTGGCAAGACAGTGTTTTTCTTCTTTAGTTCCCCAGGCAATAATAACGGCACTTCGATAGAAGATGGACAGATCCCAGAAATCATATTTTATACATAATCCAGCATTCTGATACATCTTGGCTACAGAGTGCCATACAGTCTAGTCTCAAAGGCCTATAAAACTGGCCACAAAAAATAGTCTGAATGTCATGAATATTTATAATTGTGAGATAAGAAACATTTTGGTTTCTTAGAGGAGATGAACAATATTGATTTAAATCTCTGCATGGTTTCAAAGCAGATTTTCCTTTTTCTTATAACCTTAGGGAAAAAGAGAACTGGGTGTAACCTTAAAACAGCTGTTTCAGCCTTATCTTGTATAATTTCATAGATGAGCTGACTCATGGTCTTTCCACAGTTTTATAATTGAAAGATTCTTGTTTTAGACAGATGGTTGTGTTGTTGTTTTAACTGTTGTGAGGGTTAGATGAGATGGACTTCTAGGCTTATCTATTTTGAAGATTACATGAGAGGAGACGGGTCAGTATTCCTACAGAATTCCTATTAATTCAAATAACTGATTTCAGAAAATTAAGAAAACTGACCTTATATTTGGAGTTTTGAAATATCCGGTTGTTAGCATTCATAATATTTCTAGAAGCAGGTCTAATAAATGCCCAAGAACATTTTCAATGCATTTACAAAAAAGGATATTTTATAATAGTATAGTCATGTGTTACATAGTACAGCTTTAAACTATAAATGGAGTTGGTACAAATTCACAATAATGTGATATAAACAGAGGATCTAAAGGTATAGTCTAGGACTGGATTCTTTATCACTAAGGTGCACCACTGCACTTGCTGGTAGCTGTCCGGGGAATGGTCCTGAGGATGCCCGAGACTGAGATGGTGACTGGCTACACGGGCATCAGTTCCACATTGTGGCGATCGTCTAACACAACAGGAAACTGAATAAAATACTAACCTTTCTGACAACTACTTTGACATTTTAAAGATCTCCAGCAGCATCACTCCTGCTGAAAAGTGTACTTTCTGTCACCGACACAGTTCTACCCAGGAAGTAAGATGTTTCATGTTTATACCTCCTTCATGTCACAGGTTATAGCCGTTTTGGGAGGGGATAGGAAGTATACCTGGCAGAATAACATTTATATACTTTTTTATAAAGCAAAATTTTTATATAAATAACCTCTTTTTCCCTTGAAAACGATTATCTTGTTAAAAAAAAAAAAACCCTATGTGTAATTAAGATCTATCACATAGTTTGGGAAGATGGTTAAAAAAAATCACAATTCTTTAAGTAACAGCTTAAAAAGAATTTTTTCTAAATAGTAATTGGGACAAAAAATTTCATTTAAAATAGGACTTCATTTTATATTTTCAAGGAGGTAGTGATGTGTGTCGGTGGCAGAGGTCTCAAAATCTCAAACATGATCATATGGACATAAACCTCAGTTAACTGGAATATCTATGGAATGTGTCGTCGTGGTTAATTACAGATTAACTGGCAGGCACATTAACCAGCTGTAGTAACCATTATGGAAAGTACTTCCACCTCAAAGTGTGGAATAGGTAAGTAAGTTCATGGTTTTTGACATTAGAGGCATTTCAAGGGCTTTTCGAGTACGTTGCACTGAACAAGGATTGTAACCGAAGGTGCCACAGAACGTACAAGAACCGGAACTGTTTACGGATCTGGGACATCCCCTGGAATTTTTAAAAAGTAAATATTATCCTTGTATTTATTTTTTGGTCCTTTGTCTTCTTCTTCCGAAAGTTGAGTGTAACCGCGTTCTGGAACAAGGTTTCTAGTTAATTGAGGTTTTAACGTTATTTGTAAGGAATGGAGGTATTTATTGCAGCACAAAATACGAGCGCCTTGCCGCTGCCTTAAAGCAACGCGTCGGAACCGCAGCAATGACCGCTGTTGCCTCTGTGCTTCTTGGACCTTTTTTACTGGCCTCAGGGTTTTCTCGCCTGTTCTAATCTCGGGAGGGGGAGAAGGAAGACTTGTCGTGTGAGGACTGAGTCCCCACTGGGTAGTACCGCTAGCCCCTACCAGAGTGATTCCCGTGTGCCAGGCTCTGCGCTGAGTCCCTGCCACACGTTCTCACTTGTGTCTCGCGTCAGGCTGCGGTAAGTACTAACACCCACTTCACAGGCGGGGAAATGTCACATTTAACAAGGTCGGTAAGGGGGGGAGGCAGGATGAAAAGCCAGGTCTCTCCCTCCCGAATATCCGTGCCCTGACCCGCCGTGAGCTCGCTGTCCCACTGCCGTCTGGCATGTCAGCCGCAGGTCCCGCGCCTCGTCCACGGGCCACGCTGCAGCCCGCGGTCTTTCTCAAACACCACGGGTTGGACCGCGCCAGTCCTGCCTCTGCCCACTTCTCCGGTCTCGTCTCGCACATCCCACACCAGAATGTGATTTCCTCGCCCCTGACACGGTGGAATCCTCAGCGCCCGGCACGAGGCAGGTGCTCCATCGGCACGTGGGATACACCCCAGGGCTGAGGCCGCACGAGGCTCCACGTCCACCTGTGGGCCATGGGAAGCAGCGTCCGCATGGTGGTGGCAGCGGGAGCCACAAGACACCTGCCTGCCTCTCACTGCGATCCTTTATTCTTGGGAGGAAAGAGAGGAGCAGAGTAACACAGCCTACCTACCTGCTGCGTGTGCGGAGCCGCAGGGGGGTGGGGGGCGGGATCCTGGTCTCCGTCTCCAGGGCTACTTTCCAGGATGAGGGGTCGTGCTCCCTCCGGCCGGGAGGGGTCGCCCTCGGGCCGGAGCAGAGGCGCTGGCCTGTGGGGTCGCTTCCGCCGGCCGCGCGCGCAGGCGCGGAGCGCTCTTCCGGCGCCGCTCTGCCTCCGCCCGGCTTCCCCGCGGGGATGCTGCGGCTGGGCCGCGGGCTGAGGCGCCTCGGGTCGGGACGCGGGGCTGGAGACTCCGGCCGGCTCCCTTTAAGTGCGGAGATGCCCAAGAAAGCTGGTGCGACGAGCAAGGCCAGTGGCAAGCCCCGTGGCAGGGGAGGGTGGGCGGCGCGTGGGAGAGAGGCGGGCCCCGCGGGTGGGCGAGGGTCGCCGGCAGCTCGCGGCTCCCCGAGACCCGTCTGCCGTCTCTGAGGCCGGGTCCCCGCGCTCCCAGGGGGCCCGCCCCTCACGCAGGCTAGGCGCCCCCGCGGTCCCCGCACGGCCTGCGCCACCCGGCGTGGGAGGCTCGCGGCGGCGCCCCCGGCCCGACCGCCCTCCGCTCTGGGTCCCGGGCGGCGGGGGCTGAGCTCCTGGCGGGCACGCACCTGCTGCCCCGGTCCAGGCATGGGAGGCTCTGCTAGAGAGCTACCTCCGTCGTCCCTTCCTCTCTCCCCAATACACACACGCTTCCGGCCTAGTTGCTCGCGGACGGTCCTCACCTCGGGCTGCAGGGGATGCAGAGATGAGTAGTAAGTGGTGTCTGCGCCTGGAGAACGGGGGATACAGCGCAGACGGTAGGAACCAGCGCTCAGGTGTGGAAGCCAGAGTCCCGGCCCCCCAAGGCAGCAACAAAACACTCCGTTGGGTTGATTGGAGGGCTTCGTGGAAGAATTGACTTGGAATGCTTGGAAAACCTTTCCGGGTGGCCAGAAATCCCTGGACACGAGTCATTCGTCTTGGTTAAGGGTGAAAGGGAGTAGAGGAAGGATCAGATGTGCGGAAACATATTTTATAGCTTGTAAAGTTGTAGTGTGGTTGTTGTCGTTTTAGGGTAAAAGCCAGACCAAGGAGCCAGAGACACCACTTCCTCCCTTAGGTCCTGTGGCAGTTGATCCTAAAGGTTGTGTCACCGTAGCCATCCATGCCAAACCTGGTTCCAAACAAAACGCTGTAACAGGTACATCTGGCCCCGGGGGTGGGGGTCACGAAGGGGCTGGGGCGGGGGGGGGGTTCTCCTCCATCCTCCCTTTGCCTTGGTTAGCGGAAAGTTGGTCTGTACAGTCAGGGTTTTCATATTCGTGATTGGAGGCTTCTCCGTTTTAAGATTCTAGATTCTAATGTAAAAGTGTAAGTAAATCCAGTGTCAAAAGTGAATATATGATATTTGCAGCATACCAAGTGAGATGAACTATTGTGTATTTTCTTTTTTTTTTAATACGGTATTTTGAAAAGGACACACGCGGAAACATGTGCAGCGTAGAATTACTGTGTTTGTCCTGTTTCAAAACTGGAGACATTAGCCAGAGAAAGAAAGAAGAGACATTTTGGTCGAGTTTAATGACCATTGGTCCAAGGAGGAAGAGAAAACCTGGTGTCTGAGAGTCCTGATCATCAGCTCCTGTGTAGACTTGTTTTAAAACAATAAAGAGCTTTTCTGGGCCCAGTTCTTTTCATCTATGGGAGGAGATACTGGACTAGGAAGCTTTCAGGCTATTCCCTGGAGCCCAAAAGGTGCCTCAGGGGTGTTTTAGGTGGACAAGGGGAGGTCAGCAGGCAGCTATGTTTACGTTTATTTTAAATGCTGGGAGCCCAGGGGAACTTCTGTGGGTGCAGAGCCGGGGAGGCGGGGAAGGGCTGTATTCCGAATGAGAAGTCTGAAAACTATTGATCTGAATTATTTTGAAGGTCTTTTTTTTTTACCTCTAAAGCTCCTTCTTTTTTGTTTTTTTTGTTTTGTTTTGTTTTGTTTTTACACTTTGAAAACAAGACCTCAGAATTGGGATACTAGGCTGTGGTTTGTGCTGGTGGCCGTGTTAGTCTGGCTGTGCATGGGCCGCACCCACCAGGCTCTGCCTTTTCTGAATAGTTGTTGTGGACCCTGTCTCGTGTCAGCATACCATGTTTCATCGCGTCTGAGATGCCATCAGCTAGAAGGTACACAGGTATTTTGTGTACCAGCAAGACAAAATCCGTACAAACACTTGATTTTCCGTCCGTTGTGAGATGTGTCTGGGTTTGAAAGGTACTGACGCAGCGCACGGTGGAATTAGATTTGGTGACAGGCCAGGAGGCGGGCTGTTGTACGAGATTCTGTGGCCGTGTGGTTGACACAGGCAAGGTGTAAGCATGTGAGAACGCCTGAGAATCCGTACGTCGGGGACCAGGTTGAGCCCACTTGAGAACTACTGTGAGAACTCCGCTCTCGGAAGGACAGTGGAGGGCTGCAGGCGGGCCGCTCTTTATAGAGGCTGTACTGATGGGGGTCACGGCCACTGTGCAGACTGGCCCTGGAGTTCAAAGCATGTAGCCAAACGACTTTTGAGTTACAGCATCACTTTATCACCGGGTGACCTTGGGCACATCTTGACTTCGGTTTCCTCGTTTGTAAACTGGAGATAATAATAGTATGAATATCTTCTTCGTGAGGTTCTTATGAGGATTAAACAAGTTAATATCTGTGAAGTCCCTAAAACACGTGTGCCCTCAAGTTACCGTGCGCAAGTGCTGTGTAAATGTTTAAATGTTGCACCTTAAAGACATGAAACAGGCATTTCACGCGAGCTGAACCAGGCCAGTCCTCTCCTTTCCTGAGCCCCGAACAACCCTTGTCCAGTGCAGTGAGCTGCCTCCGTCCCGCTTCCTTTGTGACACTGCTGACCCAGCTCCTGACCTTGCCTTGGGGTTCGTCCTGCCACCCCACGCAGTTTCCAGTAGCCTACATCCAGGACACTGCCCAGGTTCTGAGCTTCTCTTGATCAGCAGGATGGGGCTAGATGTAGACTTTCTGTGGCTTTCTTTCCTGAAGTGGTGACGGCTTATTTTATCATATTTGTGTTCCCTAAAGCTTGAGTAGTTTGCTCGTTCATTTCTTCGTGCAATAGTTATTCATTGGAAACCTACTATGTGCCAGGTGAATGCAAACTCTTTTACAAAATAGCTTCACCTCCTGAAGAAAAACAACTCCTTAAGGGTCAAGTCCACACTGATCTCATTCCAGACTTGACACCTGAAGCTGTGAGTGTGGCCATTGCTGCGCCTCCGTCGGAAGGAGAGGCTAATGCCGAGCTCTGTCGCTATCTTTCCAAGGTCTTAGAACTCCGCAAGAGCGATGTGGTTTTGGAGAAGGTAGGTCTCTCTCTCAAAACAGTTTGATTATTACATGTCAGATATTATTATGTTAATGCTGATTTTTCTTTTCCAAATCATTGAAAAAACTCCCATTCATTTCATCACGAAAATATGTGAATTCTGTTTAGTTTCCTCCATTCCTGCTGCCTCAGCCCTTACTCAGAGTGACCACGCTCTGTATGTCTAGTCCTTAGTTGCCACCATCTCGAGCATTTCCCTCTTTCCACATGTTTTCCTGTATCTGCTGGCAGATTGGTTTTGTCTCTTCTTTCGTCATCATTCTAAAAATCTGAAAGGGTTCCTGTTGCTTATCGTCTCCATTAGCGAGTCTGTCAGGTGTTTCTGGTCTCCCCACGTTATCCTTGCTCCCTGGAAAAGCTGATTAGGAAGAGAGGCCAGATGAAGTTATTCACACAACGGGTCTGCTCTAGGGGTAGATATCAAAATCACCTGGCATTGATTTCTAAAACACAGGTTCCTGGACATCTCTAGACTTACTGAAATAGACTTGGCAGGAGTAAGACCCAACCACGTTTATGTTTCTTAAAGCTCAGTTTGTTTTCTCGTGATACACTCTCTAGATCTAGGTCCCAGTTGGCATTCAGAGTTCTTGGTTAATAGGCTGCATCTGAAAATTCTCCCATCAGGCCACTACCCTCGATACATCCCCCTTGTGTTGCAGGAAACTCCTGACTCTCTGCCACTGCCCTGACATCTGCCTGAAGGGGACTTCCCACTCCTCTGCGAGTCCAACTTCTACCCCTAGAGATAATCCCTGCTCACATTTTACCCTCTTTAAAAGATGTTTCAAAACGAGTATTATAGCATTTGCTTTTCGTTTGGAGTTTTCAGAAATGTGGAACAGAGAGAACAATTTGTTTGGAATTATTTTTACACAAAGTTTATATAAAATTGCAATATTCGCTTTGGTAATTTAAAAAATAATTTTAACTTTTAATTTCGACAAAGAAGTTATTTAAAAACAGAGCATTCTACATCTGGACTCTATTCATTTTGAAATTGTAATGCCAATTCTTATGATTACAGAAATTGATACTTGAATGTAAAATCCCTAGGTCTAGAGTGCAAAAATTGGTAGGAAGGTGGAATCTGAGCTAATCTGTGTTGAAATCAGAAATGACCGGGGGAAAGCGATGGCTAAGCTGTCAGGACAGCCCCAGGCCACCACGCTGGCCCCATGAGGACACTGCCATGACGGGTGCCTCTGAGGTCTGCTGTCTCGGGGTTATCCTGACACCATTTTCTCCTTTTGGTCCAGGGTGGTAAATCTCGTGAGAAAGTGGTGAAGCTTTTGGCCTCCACAACTCCAGAAGAGATCTTGGAGAAATTAAAGCAGCAAGTGGAAAAGAAATAAAAGCCAGTTTTGAGAAAAACACACCCTTGGAAAGCTTTTTTTATTGCTATTAATGGAGAGGCTGTTAACTAAGAAAATATATTTCAGTGCACAGAAGAACATGGAAAAAATACATGTTTAACAACAGAACGCAAGAAATAGGAATTTAAAAGTACTCTACGTTCAATATAGGTTCTAAAATCCCTGACCCCAGCTTGGAGTATGTTACTCTGATTTCGTGGCATCACAAAATAAGAGAGCTGGAAAAGTTGTTTAAGATGACCTCACTCAGTCCGTTTCGTTCTGTGATGGGGGTTCGGATGTCCCGAAGTTGAGAGAGTTCTTCGGGATCTCATGGCGCAGGGTGGCAGCTGGAACCCGATCCCTGGACTCCTGGTTGGATGCAGTTCATCGTGATTGTGAGTTAAAGTGCTATTTCTGCAGCCACCTCAGGGTTCCGAGGATCGCCTTCAGGTCCAGCTCACAGGTGACAGAAGAAAACCTGTCACACTGCTTTGTGCTCTTAGTTTGTATTTTAAAAGGCATATCTAAATACGAAAATGTTTTCTGTGTCTTTTTAAAACTCTGTGGAGCATTTTGTGAAAAAGTAAACAAGAACAATTAAGACTTGTAATTTCGGGGAAGTCACTGACTTTTCGTCCACCTTGGATGCTAGCTGCAGTCTTCAAATCTGGTATTTCTGAAGACTCTCCAGAGAGCCTTAAGAGAGGAGGACCTGGCAGCTATTCTCAGTATTGGTAAAGGCCTGTCAGAAATCATATGTATATTCGAGCTTCAAAAGCGAGTAATAAAGATCTTGATTTTAAATCTCCAATGCAAATTATAGTGATTTGGTAAAGGTACATAATTTCATTACCTTTGCCGATCAGAACCAAAGCAGTTGTGTGCTTTTGTCCAAGTACCTGAGAAAATGTACGGGGAAACTAAAATCTTTTTTTTTTTTTTTTTAATTTTTTTTTTTCAACGTTTATTTATTTTTGGGACAGAGAGAGACAGAGCATGAACAGGGGAGGGGCAGAGAGAGAGGGAGACACAGAATCAGAAACAGGCTCCAGACTCTGAGCCATCAGCCCAGAGCCTGACGCGGGGCTCGAACTCACGGACCGCGAGATCGTGACCTGGCTGAAGTCGGACGCTTAACCGACTGCACCACCCAGGCGCCCCCAAAAATCTTTAAAAATACAAATTCCACAAAGAAGGAACAATAATAAAAATTGTTGATGGTGAAAGGGCTGGGAAACAGTCATCTGGTCAACTCTTATTCTATGGATAGGAACCAAGGAGAAGGTCACGGTCAGTATTAATGGCAGAGCATGGGTCCCACTCCACGGCCTTCTTTTCTAAGCCATTATGTCATACTGCCTCCAGATGTGTCTCCCTTGGACCTGGTCTTGGCTTAAGAACAAGTAGCAGAAACCCAACTCCAGCCGGTTTACGCGATAAAGATTCACTGGCCTGATACCTGGCAAGTCCAGAGGCAGCAGCTCAGTGTCATCATAAAGGACCCACTGCAGCTGACAGCGCCTGCTTCGGCCTCGTGCCCACTTGGAGGCAAAAAGGCAGCAGCCCTAGGCCTCACGTCCGCATACCGCCCTCCCCACCCCCACCCCCCGCCGCCGGCAGGAAAAGACGCCACTCGGAAGAGCGGGCTCCCGCTCGGCTTCCCCCCACTCCTTGGTGGTTGGGGTGGGGGAGAACCAGAGGATGGGGTGGCACCCTCGTGGTGTTTCAGGTTCCAAACACATAGGTGGTTCCTTAACCGTAGTGCAGAATATAAATGTAAAAACCCACCGGGGCCCCACTACAGAATTTTCAAATGCGTGTGACTAGGGCCTAAAAATTTTAAGAAGCTAGATTTGCAGTTTATGTCCAAGAGGTGGCACCATAATGCAGCGGCAGAAAGCCGCTTCGTAATCTGAAGTGAGCAGTGCGAGTAGGAAGTCTCTGTAGTGCCCGCCAGTGTCCCACACTCTTCTGTCTGGTCTGGGAGACATTTCTTAGGCTTATCCCCTCATTCCCTGAGTTCAGTTCAGGCCAGGGTGTGTGAACTGCCCTCTACTCGGCTGGGTACTTAGGAGTCTGGCTCAGTGCTTTAGTGGAGTCAGCATGGTCTTAAGTGTCTCCCTTAATTCTGCCGCTTTCAGAAATCCCATTTAGTTGGTGATTGAAAATGGAATTGGGCTGGAAAATTAGCAAGGAATTCATTTCGAAACAAGATGCCAATTTATTAATTTGAGTGAAGAACACACCTGCCAAACAGACTGTATAGTGGGATCCTCCAGCGAGAACATTCTGTCACTTTGGGAAGTCTCTTGACGAAGCCAGTCAGCATCTGAAGAGTGCTTGGAGAGCCTGGGATCAGAACCAGGGGAGGGAGGAGGGGCGGAGCAGGGAGCTCTGACCATCTGCGATAGACCCGTTCTGTCTCCTCAGCCCCTCTCCTGGGACAACTCTGGACACTGATGCTCCCTTTTTCCAGGCTCTGAGAAGACCACCTACTTCTGCCCACGTGGGCTGTCCTCAGACAATCCTCAGAATTCAACTGATACGGTTTTCAGCATTTTCTAATCCTTTTCTAGGTGTGTGCCACAGGATGCATCTAGTCCCCTTGCTGTTAGAGTCAGCGGGGGAGAACCCCAAACTTGGCAGCAGTTTGTATAGACTCTGTGGTCATTTCTACATGAAACTTCTCCACGATGTGGCTTTATTGTCACAGTGGCTTTCACATGGTTTCAGAGCCTTCTGTTTCTCTAGAGATACCTGGGTGGGTCGGAGAGCTGTGGAGAATAAGGGAGGGAGTCACGTCAACGGGACTCCAAACCTTTAGCCCTCTTCCAAAGCTGTGCTGTCAGTGTGGCGGCTGCTAGGCACATGTGGTTACTGAGCACTTGAAATGTGGCTGATCAGTTTTTTTTTGAATGAAAGCATCATGGAAATAAAGGCCACGTTGGAAACACAAGGTTGAAAATACGGCATAGAATTTGGGGGGCAGGATAGAAGGAGGTGAGCAAAGAAAGGAAAATGTCAGATCTAGAAGTCAGGAAGGGGCAGTCAACAGACATAACTGGGGTCCTGGAAAAGAACCCCCCCCCCCAAATTGGAGCAGAACAAAGATTTCAAGATAAAATGAAGAAAATATTGAAAAAATAAAATATGAATTTAAGGAATAAAAGGTGCAGTGTCCCAGGGGAAATACGGACAAATGGTTGACAAGGAGATACAACCTAGTAAAGTTCTCTGACTTCAAAAACAAAAAAGCCTACGGCCATCTAGACAAAAAGTTGAAGGCCTAGGAAGGGAGGGGGGAGACACACACATGTACACTCCCATTGCTAACGGGAATGTGAATTGCTACAGTGTTTTAGAAAATGTGGCACTTACTAAAAATACAGGTGTTTTAATCTAATAATCCTACTTTTTGAGAATGCCTCATAGAACACAAAAAATGCCAGAGTATATGGGCAAAAAAAGGGTAACAATCTAAGTGTCTGCCTGTAGGAGACTCATCATATAATCAACAGCAAATCCATACTGTAGAGTATTATGCTATTAAAATTAGCTTTTAATCTATAGTTACTGACCTGGAGCGATGTCTATGTTGCATGAACAAAGAATAATGTACGTGTCTGTGTGTGTGTGTGTATATGTGTGTGTGCACGCACGCACACACACACACACACACACACACATATATAATCTGTAATAAAGGAAAAATACATATCTAATTTATATATATTTGGGTGGGCATGATAAAAGAGAAGTGTACACAACAGGCCATGACCGCTGGGTGAGCGCAGATCCTTCCTAGGTGTAGTGTTTCACTTTTTTATAACATTTATTATTTTGTATACACACCGAACATATATATTGAAAGAAATTTTTAAATGAGAAAAACAGACTCAAATGAAAAAGCTCCAGCCTTTAGCAATGAGAGCAGCTTCATTTATGTAATTCAGAGCAAGGCGGGAGGGCCTTAGGGAGCTCAAGGCACGGGTGGTGGAAAAAACCATGAGATCATCATCACATCAGCCCTGAAGCTGTCTCAAGAGAAGCTGCTGAAACTCGGAGAAAATCTAGCTGGTAATCGATACATAGGGCTCTGTGGGCCCTTAGGGACAGGAATGAAAACACCAACCGAATTAGCCTGCCAGCCCATGGAGACGTTGGCGAAGGACCTGCGAGCTACACCTCTTGCACCCACGTCGGCCCAGAGGTGCCCCACACCCCACTACTACTTCTGGAGGCACACAGCCGACACGGACTCACAACCTGCAATGTGCCCAGCCCCATGATGCATAGCGTGGAAGTGCTTTCACTTAGTCCTGCGAGGGGGCAGTCCGATGACATGTTAGCCGTTTTGATGGAAGACGTCCTCATCACTAACCTGCTTCTCCCATACTGTCCCGTAAATCTAAAGATCTGGGGTGGTATTACCCACATCTCTTTTCCACTTTTCTGCACTGAGGGCACTGATAACCAGCTCCCCAGATCACTGCGCCTTGTGGCTTCGACAGTGTTCCAGGGGCTGAAGCTAATTCCTCTTCATCTCTGGCACATTCCTGATACCATGTAGCCTTATTGATGAGACCCATGCGGCCAGCGTGACCCGGGGCCGTTCTCTCCCAGAATGTCCACGGGCTCAAGGATCTCTGTCAGTGTCCCTATTTTCCTCAAAAGCTGGTCCTAGTAGAGGTCTAGACTTCTGGAAAGGAGGAAGGACTTGCTCAAGTCTACCGTGGAGTCCAGTGGTATAATCTATTTGAATCTAGTTGTTTATTTGGCTCTGTAATTAGGAGCCAGGAGAAATCTTGGTTTAGGTAATTCAGAATACAGAGAATATATGTGAATTCTGAAGTAGTAATCTAAAAACTAACATCACGAACTCCTACCAATGTCAAGAGTATTTACTCCTGTTGGCCTTAATTCATTCTAAATTAAAAGCGAGAGGACTGTAAAAGCACACATTTCTAAATTCATAAATAGAGGAAAGACACTGAGGGACCCATATAATTAGGTTTTTCACACAGAATTAGCCAAAGCCTATTTAGTATTTCAAAATCCTTATCTATCTCAAATATGCTTCTTTGGTCAAAATACAAGATACTGAAAGAAATCCCAAGTAAGGTTTTCAGTGAATGGTTTGTGATAACTCAATTTGTCTAACATTACCAAAGGAAGCACTTTCACAAGTAATCTTTCCAACTGATTGAAGTTATTAAGTGGTACAAGTTGCCTCAAGCTGGGAGTATATTTCCCACATTTCCTAATAAAAAAAAAAAAAATTCCCTTTCACTATAAACAGTGCTAATTAAAAGAAGTCAAAGGCCAGGGGTACAGATTTCCATACACAGCCAAATCTTGTTTGGGTTAAATGAATCAAACCGGAATAGGTCTGGGAAAATTTTAAAGGTGTTAAAATAACTGTATTTGTTTTAGAAACAAAGTGTAGGGCTTTTATTAGAGTTCAGAATTATGATATCAATAATCTTCAGGGCCAAAAATCATTTCCTTCCATTTTAGTATTCTAAACTTAAAACTGACATTTCATTACTCTTAATTCTGTCACAGAGTTCTGTGTTTTCCTTTAGGCGAATCAATTACAAAGGGAAAAATTACATCCTGTCTGTTGAACATTATAAGGAAGGCAGCTTTGAAATCCAAAACCATGCTAGAAGTCTCACCAGATCTCTTTTTCCTATCTGGTTTCAAGAACTCAAACTGTACTCGGAGCTGTGACCGATGGTTATTAGTACTCTGGATAACCTCAAATCCCTCTAGCACTCAAGAAAGAAAATAAAAACAACCCCTCCATCTCAAGTCTCCAGCAAGCTGGTCTCAGTCAGTATTAACCTGATGTGCTTCCATCATCTGCATTCGACATTTTAAAATCAGGGATTTCCAAATAGCAAATGCTACTAATTTTTAGCTTAATGTTTATATACATTTGATATTTGAAATTTGTTATTTTCTGAAGCATGTAATTTCTTCTTTTGCTAGTTCGTGTATTAATTCACATAAGAATCACAAGTCTTCACTCGCAGTGTCTCCTGCTCTTCCCCCATCTTCTGTCAGTTACTCCACATGCTTCACAGCCGTGCTGTGATTCACCACTCACCACGTCCTTCCCTCCCGTTGACGGAACGAACGTTTATGCGGCACCGGTTACGTACCGCTGGGGGTGTAATGGTCACAAGCTCTCATTTCTACCTTAAGCCCTTGTATGTTTGCTCACTTCTTCTCACGATCACCCTGTGAAGAGTAGCAGGGTGAGTGTTCTCCTTATCCTGACAGGGAAGCAAATAAGCTCCAAGTGTAAGTGATTTTCTCAAGGTCACACACCTTGTGAGAACAGGACTGGAAGCCAGGACTCCTTATGCTAATGCTAGATGCTGTCAACAACAGACGGTCTATTCGAGATTAATTCCATTTGACACGATTTTAATTCTTCTCACTCTTAAATTATCCTTTTTTAAATGTTACTTTCAGTCTCTCCCACATGAAGCAGAAACCGTGTCTATTATTTCCTCTCAGTTTTAAGCATATAGGGGACAGGCTAATGGTGACTGCTGTTTAAAAAAAAAAGAAAAAAACCCACCACCATATAGGCTACTCTAGCAGAATGCAGAAATAACTCGCGTTAAAAGGACTCCTGTTTTCAAGCAGGGCTGAGTCTCAGGCCATCTGTGATCTTACCGTACTAGGATTAAGAGATTTAAATACTATTAGAAAATAACCTTTCCTTTGAGCTTCCTGAGACCCATCCCTCACTCCAGCCCTGCCCCGTGGGCCCATCGGTCTCCCTGATTAGGGCCAGGAGCCGGTACGGCAGAGATCCTGTTGTAAAGCTGTGGCCAGTTACTATCCGGGTGAGTCAGTGCCTGTGCTTTATCAGTTGACAGATATTTTTAATAACCCATCTGCCTTCAGACAGGATCTTGGGGGTGCTGTGAGGCTATCCTTAACTCTCTAGGCTAAGTATCTGTGGTATCCAGATAAAGCTGTAACAGCACTGTGCCTATTGATGTAATTAGAGGGGTACAGGGAAAACCCTTATTGCTAAAATTTCATTCACATCTGAATGTGAAGATCTGATCTTATTAGATCCTTTCCAATAAGTTACCTGAAAGGATGGCTCTTCAGGAAGGGGGGAGGGGAGAGTTGGCTCCAGAGCATGGAGAAGTCAACCTCAAGGGCCTAGAGTGGAGTGTTAAAAGTTTTTTTTTTTTTTTTCAACTTTTATTTTTTTGGGGACAGAAAGAGACAGAGCATGAATGGGGGAGGGGCAGAGAGAGAGGGAGACACAGAATCGGAAACAGGCTCCAGGCTCCAGGCTCTGAGCGGTCAGTGCAGAGCCTGACGCGGGGCTCGAACTCACGGACCGTGAGATCGTGACCTGGCTGAAGTCGGACGCTTAACCGACTGTGCCACCCAGGCGCCCCTAGAGTGGAGTGTTAAGAGAGAAGGCAGCAGAAGGCAGATTTAGAAGTTTTTTTTAAACTTCTTAAGTTTAAAAAGTTTAAACTTTTAAGTTTAAGAAGTTGCCTTTAAATTCCTTTTCCCTGTGATGAAACTTCTACTCTTAACATTACTCTTAAGCCAAATAAACTTTTCAACAGATATGAAGGAAAGAGCAATAAAAAACCCAGAAGGTTCATCACATCAACTGCCAAAACTTGAGGAAGAAATTGTTTCATCTTAAGTATTTTATTAGTTGAATAACACCATTGTAGTGGCCATTAAAATGATCTGAAACAAAACGATCAGTGTAAAAGCAAGTTACAGCGTCACTTTATTTATACAAGAGGAAGCAGCAAAGGTGCACATTTGGAAGTGGACAGAACACTGTTCAATCAGTCCACGTTAAATACCATGAAAGTGGTCAGGATGCAGTGTTATATACATACCATTGGAAAAGGGTTTACAGAGTTAAACTTTTGTATAACATGAGTTTTCATCTGCTATGTTTAAGTTGGCAAAAAGCCTTATAGTTTGTATGAAATGATCGTGTACCCTAATCTCACCCACCACTAGATCAAGACACTGAAACTGAGAAGAGTTCCTTCCTTATTTTACAGCTTTATTCTTGACATCCCTCTAAAAAGAGACAAAATGATTGTGGAGCTGACTCATACCTGGAGTAATTATAAAGTACCACGGTCATAACAAAAGCCAAAAGAAGTATCTACAATTGTTTTACCTTTCAACTGCTGAGGTCACACACAACACAGTACAAGTAGGCATAATTGTGCATTCATGAGTTGAGTGTACTAACCTCTGCAAAAACTTCAGAATGAGCATATCTGAGTAAATGGATACTTCCTCATCTTACAAAATAAAATCAAGCAGGAATGCGTGGGTGGCTCAGGTCATGATCTCGTGGTTCGTGAGTTCAAGCCCCGCATTGGGCTCTGTGTTGACAGCTCAGAGCCTGGAGCCTGCTTCGGATTCTGTGTCTCCCTCTTTCTCTGCCCCTCCCCCACTCCTGTTCTGTCTCTCTCTCATAAACATTAAAAAAAAAAAAGTAAAATCAGGCATTTTCTACTTTAAAATTTTTATTTCTGTGTAAAACAAAGACAGAACTCCTGGAGGTCAAACAAAGAAAACACTCAGCAAGTTCAAAGACTGTTAAGTCATGAAACAAAGAAGAAATCTGAGGTAGAAGTCAGGTAATAAATCCACAACTTTTTAGAGGCATACTTATTTCCAGCAACCATAATGTCTCTGGTAAGATCTCATTTAAAAAAAAAAAAGTCAGAAGTGCCAAAAAGTTAATAATCCACTCTCTGAAATCAAACGTAAAACTATGACCAACAGAAGATACAAACTTTTGTCATGTTAACAGAGTAATGGTTTTACTAAAAGCTGCTGCCGTTTCCATCAGTAGTAACCATAGGGAGGCCGTTGGTTGTAACCATAGTGTCCGTACTGGTGGGGGTAGTAAGGTTCTTGTCTGTGCTGCGGGTAATTGTTACCCCAGGATCGTCCATGCCACTGATTTGATCGATTGTCACTGGGCCACCCCCGTCTGCTATCCCTACCTCTAAACTGTCTGTTATCTTGCAACCTACAACAGCAAAACAAAAAGATTTTTATACTTCTCTTTTAAAAAACACAAATGACAACTCTATCCCAGTGCATTTTATTTCAGTCTAATATTCCGTCCACAAGGGGGTAAAAAACATTTTTCTCCGCAGAATGTTATAGCACCAGTTGGTCAAAACATTCCCAAAATTTAAATCATTCTTCCACTATCACACTGGATACGCTTTGCAGAGAAATAGGCAGACCGCAACACAAAACCCAAAACAACAGAATAGTTCTCAAACTGAATTCTATTCGATTGTACAAAAGCAGTATGGTTATCTATTCATGTATTTTGAATTATTCCGTAGACATAATTTCTATTGTATAAATTTCTTTCTCAAGTATAAGCCAAAGACAGTACCTTCTCTATGGAATCTAACACAGAGTTTTATAGAAGACTCTGGGATTTTCAAGTATATTTGCAAAGAAAATCAAATGTCCACAGGAAGAACATTTTAAAAAAGAACATTAAGACACACACAACTGAACAGCAAGGGAAAAATACATGGTGCCGACGAAATACTAAGGCACACGTTTACTGGCCGCTTGCTCCGTGCAGGCAGGCGGTCGGCACCAGGAGTACCAAACAAAAACATCGGTCCCTGCCCTCGCTGGCCTCGGGGGCTAACGGATTAAAGCCGTCCTCTCCCACGTCAGCCATCCGCAGGTGTCCTCCCATGATACATACCGATTGCCTCTATTTCTCTGGTTCCCAGCGGCTCTGCTAGTCCACTCCTCGACGATCGGAGGGGACTCAGGAGGGCGCTTCAGGTATTCCTGGTATTCTTGGTCATCTTCTGTGAATCTACTGGCGAACATCTCTTCAAAATTTGGAACAGCTTCAGAAGCGTCTGTCATCCTGAAATTCTGTTGTTTTTAATACAGTGCTCTAAGAATTTTTTTAAAAAGTCACATTATCTTACCAGATAGTAAAAAACCAAGAGATGAACAATTTTAGGCAGGGTATTCATAAACGTCTTTGTGTACTTTTAAACTTCAGATAGTTTTAAACATTCAATTCAGTGTTTCTTGACTTCTGTAATATAGATGTACTAACTGGGCACCCAGGATCCAAAGATGAACAATATATCGTGGTCTCTACCTCCAAAGAACTCTTGGTCTACAGCGTAAGACAGACATGGTATAAAGGGAGGACCAGTGAATGTCAAGAAATGAAGCTGGAAAAATAGGCAGGGATCGAATTATGAAAAACTGTGTATTCCACACAAACAACTGTGCACTTATTCTGGTAGGAAATGGGGAGTCCTAGGTGGTTTACGCAGAGAAGTCTCCAGAGCAAGCCGACTATTTAGAAGGATCACTCTTCTAACCGGGCAGAGCACAGAGCAGCGAGGACAGACCAAAGGCAGCTTACTGCACTGCTGGAGGGCTCAGTCTGAGGAAGCAACTGTGAGGACAGGTAAGATTCCAGGAGAAATTAATCACTCACTAGATGTTGTGGGGTGGCAGGGGAGACAAAGGATAACTTCCAGGCTTCTAGCCAAATGAGCGCATGGCCTGTGGTGCCATGGGAACCACAGGAAGAAGGGTGGGCAAGGGTACACAAGAGTTTGAAGTTAGTTACGTTATGCCCATCCACACGGAGAGTCAGCTCACAGTTACCTATTTGGGACTGAGAAGCAAGTTGATGATAAATACGGGAGACATCAGCAATTCTGATGGTGGTTAATGCTGTCAGAATGGAGGAGATTCCTCAGGAAGATTGTGGAATAAGAAGAGTATCAAGGAACAGAATCCTGGAGAACACCGACGTATAAGGAAGTTGAAGATAAAGAAGAAAACCGATAAGAACCAGCAAAGTGAGCTTACCATAGAAGGCAAGAGAATAAAGAGTGAGTGGTCCTCAATGTTGAACAGTACAATGATAGAACCAAGAAGAGAAAACTAATTGGGTTTAGCCATTAGGAGGTGATTATTTTAGAGTACTAGGGGATTGAAACAGGACTGCAGTTAATTGAAAAGTAACTGGAAGGTAAGGAACTAAAAATCTACACTGACTACAGACTAAGTTTTCAGGAAGCTTCGCTGAAAACGAGAAAAAGGCAGTAGCTAAAGGGTTACTGGAAAATTATCTCCAATTTTTCCCAGGACAAAGTACCTGAGGTTAGGTTTATAGGAAAAGAAAAAAGAACCAGTAGAAAAGTGAAAGACTGAAAATACAGGAGAGACACAAAAATGGAAAGGCAAATAGGCATTTAAATGAACAGCTACTCAAGTTTAGGGTACTTTATAATGGCATCCAATGCGCTCCTGTACTGTGACAAAATGAAAACTACTATAGACACTGTCTAACAAATCTGTATTAGTTGGGTTTCCCAGGCCCATTCTGGACTCGTTCAAGTAGTATTTCCTTACCCACATTCTCCGGGAGCCCTCTACCTCTAAGAAAAGATTTGGCTTAGGTGACAAAAGGCCTCATCCTCGAGACGCCAAGGGACAAAGACTTCGCTTCTTTTAAACTGTATCCAAGACGCGGAAGCCAGCCAATCAGCGTGCTGTAGGGAGCTCCCCCCTTCCCAGTCTTCCTTGACCACATACTGGTGAGGACTCCCATCCCTGTCTTTCCTAACCCAGACTTCATCTTTCTACTCTTTGCCTCAAGACTCCTAACACCTGTTTTATGACTTGGGGTGTATGTGACATCATACGAAAACGTTCAAATCGGACATCCTGCAATTATTTTTCTTATTGTATTACTTCAACTTACAATAAAACTTTTTGACAAAGACGTGATAGTGGAAGACAGTTTCTTCATTAGTTTGTTTCTCATCCAAATCCCCCAAAACATATGCAAATATTTATAATTCTACCCTCATCCCAGCAACATTAAACCAAGACTACTGTGTGGATGCAAGAAGCAATACCTAGACGTTTTAATCTTTCTTAGGCTGCTGCTCTCAGACTTTCCACTTTCTCAGATGTCAAATTCTCAAGCCCAAGGTATGATTTGTAATAGTAAGTTCAGCCAATGACCATCATGCCTGGGTTTCTATAGGAATCACAGAAACCACCAGAAGGATGACCCATACCCAACCAGATGGGGAGTAGAAACTACAAGACAAGGCAAAAATGCCACTCTATTTCTATGTTCTCCTACGGTCCCCTTCTCACAAGTAAACAAAAATCTCTACTGTTACTCACGACAATGAAACTTAAATATAATTTTAATCGATCTGAGCTTTACTTACCCCAGCACTTTGAGGCAGTTGTACTGTCTAATGTTTATGTTGTTTCGATCTGGGGGAAGGGAGAAAAACGCTTGATTCCCTGGAAGGACACCCTCAAAAGGTGGTGGGGAGGGCGAGGAACACAAGGGCCTCAGTGAGTGAAGGGGCTGTCCTAAAAGCGCTCCGGAGACTTGCCACGCTTGCTGGAAAGCGAGCGCGAGCGTTCGAGTGGCGGCGGAGAGCGCGGGGCCTTCAGGACCCAGAAGCCGGTTCAGGCACGACCGGCACAAGGTACGTGCCCCTCGGTGGAAGGCAGGGGCTCAGCCTTTCGGACCGGTCTCGAGCACAAGTAAAACCGCGCGGCGCAGTGGTGCAGGCGTGCGACCTTGGGGATGAATGACCACTGGGGGCTTCTGCTGCCCGGGGGGGGGACGAGCACCGGCTTCCCAGTCCGCTGTCGGAGCGCACTGGGCTGGTCTCCCGCGGCCCTGGCAGGCCTGCTCCCTCCCCAGACGCGAGGGCGAGGGGAGGCCACTCGGCGCGGCCCGCCCGGCTCCTTGCTCCCCGGGGCCACGATCGCCCGCCGAGGGCTGCGTCTGCCCAGCTCGGGCCGCACCCCGCCGGCCACACGCGCAGGAGCACCCACCTCCGGCCCACAGCGCGGCCACGGGATCTCCCACCACTTCAGCTCTCCAAGGTAACGGAGCCACTCGGGCCACAGGCCGACTTCCGCTTCCGGCAGGCCAGCGCGGGGGGGGGGGGGGGGCCGGCCTGCCAAGTCTCGCGAGATCTCGGGACCGTAGTGCAGGTTTCTCCTGGTTCCTCGATCTCCCGAGCCCCGCGCGGAGGGCGTCGGGTGTCGCGCCGGCGGTGGCGGTGTCCCGCGTGCGCTTTCGGCCCGCTCTCCCTGGACAGGACACCGCTGTGCGTGAGGCCTCCTTAGCGAGGGGCCGGTGGCGGGCGGGGACGGACGCTGAGGAAATGTGCGGGGAGGAGAGGGAGAGGCCCCTTCCGGCCACCTGTTCCCGGGGTCGGGCGAGGCGAGGGCGGCGCCGCGGCGAGGCCACAGCTTTCACCTCTGCCTGGCCAGGCCCCGGTAGTAAGGTGTCCGCAGTCCGTTGGTGCCCGTTTTTCCCGACACCTCCCCCCCCCCTCCCCCGCAGCAGTGAAGTCGTCAGGGCCCAGCTACCTCCGGGCGCCGTGACCTTGTGACCTTTTCTTCTCGGAGGCCCTGCGGTTCCATCAGTGCCGGGTGTCCCAGACGTGACCCGCCCCCGCCCTCGCGACCGGCTTTCGGAACTGTGCGCCCCGCTTCTGTTAGGATTACCTCCCGTTTCTCCTTGGAAACGTTGACGTCCACAATTGATGCCCTTTTCCCCCTGTACTTGCTCCCGTCAGTTGACAGGCGCCATCGATTCTACCTCCGCAGTAATTGTGGCATCCAGCCACTCTGCGTACACACTGCCTGCACCTCCTCGAGGGTCTCGTCCCCTCAACGGGGCAAGTGCGGTACTTTTCCTCTAGCGTCAGTCACTTGCCAACCCTGTAGTCCTTTTCAAGCACAGCTGTGATCAGAAATCGTCACGGGCTCCCTGTTGCCTGTAGGTTAAGGACCTAATTTGTGAACTTGGATTCAAAACGAACGATTTTCTGCTGTCCCCCTTTCCTCCTCCGTTGTCGGTGGGAAACCAGACCGTATGAATCTCTCCCGACCTCCCTTTACCTTCTAACGATTGCTCCTGGCCCTTCCTCCTCGGGAATACTCTTCTTCCCTATCTTCGTACACTGTTGAAATTCTGCCCGTTGTTTAAAGCCACACAGTGACCCCGCCGTCTAGAAATAAATTTTCTTTCTTTGGAATGTCCATCATACTTTCCAAACCATTCTTCATGTATTCATTCAGTTATTACCACTTCGTAGTTTCGAATTAAAACGGGGTGTACGATTCCTCCCCCTCGTAGCCTGTAAACAGACCTCCATCGCTTCTGCATCCTGGAATGTGTGACGCTGTGCTTTGTGTAAAGCGAGCACTCCGTCAATGCAGAACGGATGTGCAGCTGCCAGCGTTCCAGGCCATGTTTTAGAAGCACCGACCTAGTAAAAGTGCCTAGGACAGCATGGACGAGGAGCTCCGATAGGCACTACTCGCCTTGGGTAGTAAAGGCGAGAGGGGAAAGAGCAAGGTTGCGATAATTGAGTAGCGCTCTCCTTAGTGACCGAGTGGATGGTGGGGGGAAAGGATTATGAGCAACCAGGGAGGACTCCAGTTCTGTAAGCCAAGAAACCCAGACTGAATGCCCATAGGGTGAATTTTTTTAATGTATGTTTATTTTGGGGAGAGCGCAAGCGGGTGAGGGGGAGTGAGAGGGGGGCATAGGATCCGAAGTGGGCTCTGCGCTGATAGCAGTGAGCCAGACGCGGGGCTTGAACTCGTGAACAGCGTGTGATCATGATCTGAGCTGACGTCTGACGCTCGACTGACTGAGCCACTCAGGTGCCCCTAGGGTGGGTTGGTTTCAAGGCAAAAAATGAGCTCAGATCTCAAACAGATTTGGAGACTATGAGATGGCTGAAGACAGAGAGGTTATGGCACAGTATATAAGTGTGTGAGTCATCCGTGAAGAAACAACAGTTGAACTCCTCAGTGTATATGATCTTTCCAAAAGAGAAAGTATTTATAGAGAAGAGCAGAAGGCCAAGGCCTACGCCTCAGGAAATACTCCTATTTAGGAGGCAGGAATAGGAAATATAAACTTGGAAGAAAAGATGAGAATAAATACATGGTAGCAATGTCACAGTTGGAAAACTCAGAAAACTGCTTCCCCACCTGGTATCAGGAGGCAGGGAGGATATTTGGGAAAAAGAGGGCTGTTGAGCAGTTTGCTGACTGCCTTCTGACTTTATTAGGGCATTACTTCTAGGTAATGAGGACTCGCACCGGAAAGAGCGTGATTTCTTTAATTTCGTAAGCGCTTAGGAGCTCCAAGCTTCTGAGAGTTTCTGGGAAGAACTGTAGATAATTCTGACCAATTTCAAGTGAGACTATTTCTGCCCATAATGTCTTCTTATATTCTGTCTGATATTTTATCAGTTTTACACCTCATTTTCTGGCATCATTGGGGAATAATCTGTTCCGTGAAAAGAAATTTTTCAGGTAACGGACATTTAGCCTTTAAGCATTAAAATGTTTTCTCTGGAACCACTTAAAAATTTATTTTTTATTTTTTTATTTTTTTTTTTAATTTTTCAGAGAGAGAGAGAGCATGAGTGTGAGCAGGGGAGGGGCAGAGAAAGAGGGAGACACAGAATCCTAAGCAGGCTCCGGGCTCTGAGCCATCAGCACAGAGCCTGTTGCGAGGCTGAAACCCACGAGCTGTGAGATCGTGACCTGAGCCGAGGTTGGGCGCTTAACCGATTGAGCCACCCAGGTGCGCCTCACTGGAACCACTTTTGATAGAAATGTACATAAAACGTAGTACTTCTCTGCCATGAACACAGAAAATGGGACATGATTTAAACTACTCTTGGCAACTAAAGCTTACTGTCACAGCATCCGTTATGCTCTGCCGGGTAGTAAAGTCCTTGGCCCTGTTGACACATCTGGAAAAGACTGCCCTATGTTAGTTGATGTTTTTTTTGTCTCTGTTATTAGTGTTATATCTCAATGACTTTTCCTCAAATAGCTCTGTAAATTAACCTCATTTACCCATAATATTAAGCCTCACGTTGACCCAGTGATCTGGAGGCAAAATACACCAGCAGACGTCCCTGGGGGATCCTGGCAGCTAAAGAGTCCTTCATTCAGAGGCTGTGAGTGACCTTGGACAACGACCACTGTATTTTTTTTATTTTAATTTTATTTTTTTAATTTACATCCAAATTAGCATATAGTGCAGCAATGATTTCAGGAGCAGATTCCTTAATGCCCCTTACCCATTTAGCCCACCCCCCCCCCAACCCCCCCAATAACCCTCTGTTTGTTCTCCATATTTAAGAGTCTCTTATGTTTTGTCCCCCTCCCTGTTTTTCTGTTATTTTGCTTCTCTTCCCTTATGTTCATCTGTTCTGTGTCTTAAAGTCCTCATATGAGTGAAGTCATATGATGTTTGTCTTTCTCTGACTAATTTAGCTTAGCACAATACCCTCCAGTTCCATCCACATAGTTGCAAATGGCAAGATTTCATTCTTTTTGATTGCCAAGTAGTACTCCATATATACATACACATTGTGTGTGTATGTATATATATATATATATATACCACTATATATATATATGTATGTATATGTATATATGTATATATATACATACCACATCTTCTTTATCCATTCATTCATCGATGGACATTGGGCACTTTCCATACTTTGGCTGTTGTCAGTAGTGCTGCTATAAACATTGGGGTGCATGTGTCCCTTCAAAACAGCACACCTGTATCACTTGGATAAATACCTAGTAGTGCAATTGCTGGACTGTAGGGTAGTTCTATTTCTAATTTTTTGAGGAATTTCCATACTGTTTTCCAGAGTGGCTGCTCCAGCTTGCATTCCCACCAGCAGTGCAAAAGAGATCCTCTTTCTCCGCATCCTCGCCAGCATCTGTTGTTGCCTGAGTTGTTAATGTGAGCCATTCTGACAGGTGTGAGGTGGTATCTCATCATGGTTTTGATTTGTATTTCCCTGATGATGAGTGATGTGGAGCATTTTTTCATGTGTCAGTTGGCCATCTGGATGTCTTCCTTGGAGAAGTGTCTGTTCATGTCTTTTGCCCATTTCTTCACTAGATTATTTGTTTTTTGGGTGTTGAGTTTAATAAGTTCTTTATAGATTTTGGATGCTAACCCTTTATCTGATGTGTCATTTGCAAATATCTTCTCCCGTTCCGTCGTTTGCCTTTTAGTTTTGCTGATTGTTTCCTTCGCTGTGCCGAAGCTTTTTATTTTGATGAGGTCCCAAAAGTTCATTTTTGCTTTTGTTTCCCTTGACTCGGAGACGTGTTGAGTAAGAATTTACTGCGGCCAAGGTCAAAGAGGTTCTTGCCTGCTTTCTCCTCGAGGATTTTGATGGCTTCCTGTCTTACATTTAGGTCTTTGATCCATTTTGAGTGTATTTTTGTGTACGGTATAAGAAAGTGGTCCAGGTTCATTCTTATGCATATCGCTGTCCAGTTCTCCCAGCACCACTTGCTGAAGAGACTGTCTTGATTCCATTGGATATTCTTTCCTTCTTTGTCAAAGATTAGTTGGCCATACGTTTGTGGGTCCATTTCTGGGTTCTCCATTCTTTTCCGTTGATCTGAGTGTCTGTTCTTGTGCCAGTACCATACTGTCTTGATGATCATAGCTTTGTAGTGTAGCTTGAAGTCCGGGATTGTGATGCCTCCTGCTTTGGTTTTCTTTTTCAAGATTGCTTTGGCTGTTTGGGGACAATGGCCACTTTAAAGATGACAAAACTGAGGCTCCAGAGGTTATGTAATCGGTTCAAGGCCACAGCTGTAAGTGGCAGCAGGATTTGGATCAAGTCAGTGATGATTCAGAAAGCCTTGCTGCTCTTTCCACAGTGAAACACAGTTTTCTTTTCGTTCCATACTCCACACATCATGAGCCACTGCCCAGACTCTTCCGCTCCAAGACGGATGTGGAGCCGCGGAAGACAGGACTCTGCCCTTGCGGCCTCCCCACCGAAAAGTGCAGCCAGGGCTACATACCTATTTCCTCACATTCCTCACCGTTTAAAGAATTTATTTTTATTTTTAAATTTATTTTTATT